GTGAAATTTACAGAAAATGTGAACAAATTTAACCCAAATTTAAGTGTGAAAAAAATGTGGTTGCTCAGCACTCAACCATACTATCTTAACTGTTCTTCTAGCTGCTTAAAAAAAACTGTTGCTGCTGTTTATGACAGTTGAAACACTTTCTACGTTTCACAATTTGTATTTATTATATTTTCAGTGACAGAACCACTGCACTTAGCTTGAGTAGCGTTGAAAAATCACCGCCGGTACATGATGATCATGTGACTTGTGTTGATAGCGGGGGCCCTGGAATCTGTATATCGGGAAGTGCCGATAAGGTAAGTATCTTATGTAACTTAATCTTATAGTGTTGTGTGCATGGAGCCTAGGTTGACTGAAAACACCTGAATGGTGCTAGAAGGGATAATTTTAATTCACTCTTTTTGTGCTAAATTGCTATATAATGATTCTACATGTATGTGTTTACCATATATTTACCATAGAAACTAGTGAATTTTAAAACTGAGGGAATATCCATGCATGATAAAATCTACTAAAATAAAGCTTTTTTGTTAATGGCATCTTCATTTTTAACCTTTCAAAAATTAAGCTTACAGACATTTTTCTATTTTATTTCAAACATATTAATCAAGACTTCTAGGCATTGGTAATTTATTTCCATTTGGCTCAAAATTAATGAAGAAATTATAGAAAAAGTTATTATAATGTTGGATAAGGGTTCCTCAGGGTCCCCCTCACCCATAGCTCTAATCCTAACCTTGCCCCTCCAGTGCCCCCTTTCTCCCCCCATTTTAATTATATAGGCCCCTCTTCAAAACATGTAAAATTATCCGGAGGGTCATATACACTTACATTAGAGGCTGGAGTGTTAGGGTTTGGGTGAGGGGTGAGGGGGCCTTGAGGGATTCTTAACAAATTTTGTACCAAAATTTAGTTGGGAAAAATTATCTTTCCATAGTAAAATCATTAATACACATAAACTTAAACCATTGACTTTCTGTTTCAACACAGAATCTTGATTCTATATTCTGTTTTCACCTTGCTCATAATGAAAATGAAGTGGCGGGGTATAGTGATTGCCATGTGTCATTTCATCGTTGTTGTCATTGTTAACAATTCCTTGTGATCGGGATAACTCAAGTATTTTTTATCTCACCATTTCAAAACTTTTACAAATTATTGAGTGTAAAATCTTGGTCCAGTTCAATCTTGGTGGAAGTGGAACATATTGGATATATTTGTTAAAATATGGCTCATTAGCTTAACATGGGAATGTTCTATTTCTATACCTACATTTGTAGACTGTTGTGCAATATAATTGGTTGGAAAGTAAAATTCGAAACAAGTGGATCGGACATGATAGAGACATATCTCGGGTAAGGATCCAATTGATGATTTCAAAGTGCTACATGTGATGTCAATGGGAACAACTTTTTAATGGAAAATACATCAATACATGTACAGTGTAAACAACAATAATGTATTCATTTAATGTAATTAATTTGAAAACTTTGTTCCTCCAGCATTGTATATGTTTAAAAAGCTGAAGCTTAATTAAAAATAAAATAAAAACTAATGACTGAGAGATTGATAGTTTTGGACAACAAGTATATTGAATTGCAAAATTTTAAAAAGATGCTGTTGGGTTGTGACCAGAAGGTGCCATCTACTGAAATCCAGTTTTGTCAAGTAACCCTCAGGGATTACGGTACAAGATGACAACTTTATCAGGGACCCTGAGCGAAATATCAAATACCTCACCTTCCTGAGGGGGCTAAGCCTTTCTCTGGCGTCATCTCACTAAAGAATTTGTGTGTTATTTCTTATAACAGTGTGCTTCATGCATCACAATTTCATTGTGAGGCCAATTTCAATGAATTGTCAGGTAACCAAGGGAAATAGAACAAGCAACGAGAAAGTGATATACCATTCATAATGCCGGATTCGTTACTAGTTACTGGCCTCTTGTGGCTTGGTACACCATGACACTTCAGTTGTTCATAACACAGTCACAGAGGGCGCACTAACAATGTATGTTTATAAACCTAGGTTATCTATGGTGATAGAAATGGTTACGTAATCAGTGGATCAAGAGATAAATCTGTATGTATTTGGCAATCTGGAAATTCCAAACCAGTCAAACGTTTACAGGGACATGACATGGTAGTAATGGGACTGGCATTGAACCAAGGTAACGCTTCCAGTTATTTTAATTTTAAAAATTACCTAAGGGCAGTGAACTACTTTCTATTATGTATTGTGGTATGCCAAGACACAAGACTGTGTCTGATTGGCTTCCCAACTCTAACAGCTAAGAGTCAGACCAATCAGAGAGCATCATGTTTGTTGACAGTGTCTTTCAATGTGTCTAATTTTGCCTTGTGTATATGCTTTGACTAAACAGGAGATACGTCTCTTCTAGTTTGTGTACCTGGAGCATTTCATGCATACTCATAAATGCATGAAGTGATACATACACTTAGTTTAGATGGTTAAAAGAGCTTACATCCATATGTCATTGGTCTTTCATTGGGAACACATGTCCTGCCTCAGAGGGCTACAAGTAAAACAGAAACAAAATAATTAAGCACGGGAGTCGTCACCTGTGCATGCGTCAGACGGCCATAGCGTGTCATTGTTTACAAACAAGCGTCTACCCATGAGCCTTTGCGTTTTTAGTGTGTATTGTTATCGTCGCTTGGGACTCAATTCCTGTGCGTGCGCAGGTGACAACCCTCCCGCTTTAATGTAAAATTGAAAAATGACAGTTTTTGTTGAAGATTCATAAACATCTAGCACCGAAAACAATAAAATGTCACATTCGTACACTCCCGTTGGACGCAGATGTACTATAGCATGTGATGGAAATAAAATGCCATCACTGAATGCAAACTTTCGTACATAACAAAATGTTTTTGTAAATTCGGGCTATAATCTCTCTTTATATTATTACAACAAGCCGGAAAACGATGTAAAATAATATACATTACGCTCCACTACACGTCAATCAGTTGAATTGTTGTACTGCCTCCATCTTACTTCACGCATTCTCATGAAAACCTTGTGTTACTATGAGGTTATTTAGTAGAATACCTCAAAGTATGTAGGTAGACAGTGCAGCTGGAGTGTCGACCGACGCGCAGTGGAGGTTGATGCATGGCGTACTGTCTGAGTGCATACTTTGAGGTATTCTTGTAATAACTTTATTAGTATACATCTTTTCCTTCCAAGCATGCACCATGGGAATGCCAAAATCCAAAATGCTTAGAACAGAATCAGCAAACTTCTTTGTGTGGAGTCCGGTCAAACTCTGGTGGCAGCCATGTTTGTTTTTATTATTAGAGGACGCTTACGTGCGTAATCATTCCATATTTGGAATTCGCATTTCCTAATATGGTAGGATGAAAATACCCCATAACATGCCACAAAATTACAGCACACAAAATTAACAGGACTATTTTGTGAATTTATGATGAACTGAGGTAATCGCTAGTGAAAAAGTTAATTGCTCTATCCCTATTTGTATATGTACATGTAGTCATATTTTAATGATCCAGTATACAATAAAGGCAGTTTTTGGTTAATGTGTGCTTCTATTAGAGGAATTATACATGGTCAACTTAGCATATTTGACATACCAATGAAGTGCACCAATTTTAGACAAAAATGAAACACAAATTTAGTTTTTATAAATAATCATGAATCATGTATCAGAATAAAAATGAAAATAAACACCCACCAGCGACCACACCGATTTTAGAAAACACATTTTTTCGACCTAATTATTAAACTTTATAGTAGTGAACATTTCACGATTTCACAAAAATTGAATGGTCCAATATAATTTTCAATCATGATACTCACTAGTTAAATTGTTTTATTTTACAGAAAATACTGTTCTATGTACAGGGTCACGTGATAATTACATTAAACTTTGGGATATAGAGACAGGCACATGTACTTTACAGAATAACCTTTCAAGAAATCTAGTTACACATATCAAGTGGATACCGAATCAAGACTCTGTGGCACAGACTAGTGAAGATAAATGTCTCAGGTTAGAAATATTTCTTATGCATGACCTCTGAAGGTCACACATCCTGGTGCTTTCTGGGGGTATAAATGTCTGAGGTTAGAAATATGTTGCTTGCATGATCCGTCATACATCCTGGTAATCTCTGGGGTATATTGCCTTATATGAGCAATAATTTCCAATAATAAACCTCAATTATGTTAGCTGTTTTTGAAAGACTGCTGCATATGACCATCCAACTGTACAAATTGAAATAGATAATAAATCGTCGTTACTTTCAGAGATGTTCTGAAATGTTTGCTGCACATGAAGGTTCAACGTCATGGACTTCATCGATTCACTTTCTTTTCATGATGTCACAAACTTTTTGAATACCATATTGTTTTCACACCAAAATATTGTACAACATTTCGCACATTTTTATGTATTGTATGTATTAAATGGATATAATTTCCCATTGATCAACATTTAAAAAAAAAAAATTGTGAAAAAATTTGGTTTATTTTGTGGAAGGTGACAAAAGTTGACTTTGGCGTTCAAAGGTTTCAAAACGTTTTTTAATTTTGCTGAAAATTGCATAAAATTCAGATTTTTATAATTAATTTTAAAAATTATGAAAATGAGAATTAGGTAACTCATTAGTTGTTAAGAAACATGTTAATTTGTCAAACTGAAAATATTGACATGGTGCTTTTATCGCCAAGTGCAATGTTAGTAAAACAGTCAGTGCTAACTTTAAATTCATCACCTGCTGAAAACCTCCATGAGTAGCCAAAATAATTTAAAAAAAAAAAGCATCAGCCGACAATTGTTGAAGGGCGGTGGTTGTCTTTGAATTTCATGTACAAACATTTATATTTTACATGTGTTGTGTATGTTGCTATGACTCCTATATTGAACAGAATGCAGCGCGACGACCACCACCTTTGAGTATACATCTTAACACCGCTTACATCTATTTTCAAATTCTGTTTTTTAGAACATGGGACACTAGGATACTTCAAGAATCCCATGTTTTTGCCAAAAAACAGTACATCCAGACATGTTGTGATGTCTCAGATGATGGCAACTATTGTGTCACAAGTAGTAATGGTTTCGGTGGACAAGGTTGTGAAGCTACGGTAATGAACATGCGTATTGTAAATACTGTAGAATACTTTATTTTTGCTTGGAATTTTGCTTGCTATTTTCGTTGAAGGGATAACTCCGTGAAAATAAAATCCAGCGAATATACTTTTTTTTTCTATATTTCACATTAAACTCATCAAAAATCAGTGAAAATAAATTCCAGACAAAACGCCCAAAAAGCCTTTTCAGCGAAAATTAATTCCAGCGAAAATAAAGTATTCCACAGTACAATTATTTGTGTGTCTTGTATAGCATATGTTTTATACAAATCTTTAACACCATCAAAAATTATTGGCAATCTTGTATTTTGGACTTTCTGTGACAAGCATTTTTTTAAACAAGTTTCTGTGCCAGGCGTCTATTCCGTACAATGAAGTCGCTGCTGTTTTTCTTGATGTTTTTTTTAGTGGTAATTGCAAGTACACAAATCAACCATTATCTTTAATACCGCTTGTTTGGAAAGCAGTGCAGACTGAACTCTGAGACTCAAACCCACACCTCCATGATGACAGAACTCTGTTGAGTGAACAGTCAGCTCAGAGACTCAAACCCACACCTCCGTGATGTCTGAACTCTGTTGAGTGAACAGTCAGCTCAGAGACTCAAACCCACACCTCTATAATGTCTGAACTCGGTTGAGTGAACAGTCAGCTCAGAGACTAAAACCCACACCTCTATGATGTCTGAACTCTGTTGAGTGAACAGTCAGCTCAGAGATTCAAACCCACACCTCCATGATGTCTGAACTCTGTTGAGTGAACAGTCAACTCAGAGACTCAAACCCACACCTTTATGATGTCTGAACTCTGTTGAGTGAACAGTCAGCTCAGAGACTCAAACCCACATCTCCATGTCAGGCGACCATGTACCATTACTCTGGTTTATTAATACATGGTACCGTACATTTTGAACGCCAAAGTCAATGTTCGTCACCTTTCACACAAAATAAACTTTTTTTCATAATTTTATTAGTCCCCATTCAGGTGTAGCCTGAAAGGCGACTATTATTTCTTATTCCTGGTTTCTTTCTGTCCATCCCCTTTATGTCTCCAACATTTTCTCAGAAATTCTGCAGCAGATATCAATGAAACTTGGCAGGTTGATGAACAAGTCTGTGTTGAATATTCACATAATTTGGGTCTTTTTCAAGATTTTCATCCAGAATTACCTCTTCCTACTACACTGAGAGAACAACTAAGCATGCTCAGAATGAATAATTAGCTTAGATTGTAATGCTAGGGTTTTTAGTGATGTCATGACCTGGTCATGACCTTCATCTGAATCAGTGACAGATAGGTCGTACCATTACCAATCTCAGTAGAAAATGTAGAGGGGTGTCGGGGCTACATTTTGATAGGAATTATAGTGGCGATACTGAAACAAACCCAGGTCCTGGTAATATACAAAGATCTGAATTAACAAAGAAGTCAATTTGTTATTATAAAGGTACATCAAGGTTTACTCACATTTATGAATGCAGTTTCTTGAGCATGTATGAGACATAGTTTGGTTGCACTTGTGTACTCAGAGATTTTGGACCCGGGGTCTATGAAAGTTTTCAGTTATCAGATTAAGGGAAATCATTTTATGATGAGTTGTACCCTCATAGAGTACACATTAATTCAATTGTTTGCAGATGTTCCATGTATTATATTAACATGAGTATTTTATAATTAAATAACGGGGACTGTGACATTCATGTCTTGTTTTTTTTTAAATTTGGCTAATCAAGACTTATAGCTAGAGGGCAATTATGTGCATTTGGTTCAACATTGATAAAGTAATTGTAGAAAAATGCATAATATTGTGAAAAGTGTTATTATGGTGAAAACATATTTTTATACTAAGTTTACCATTTGAGTATAAAATTATAATATTCAAAAATATTTTGTTACAAAGTATCTGTGCTTTGGTTGAATTGAATGGTTTTCCACCCATTGATTCTGGGTGCCTCCTTGTATTAATTTGTATTCACGATTTGTTTTTTGACATTGCTTTAACAAAAAATACCTCAATACTTATTTGTGACAGTGCAAATCATCATCATAGTTTGTGCTGCCACAGACTGGTAGTCAAAGAAAAAACCCTTTTAAATTAAGTCTATGAAAACAAAGTTTTCACATAAATTGGCTAAGATACTAACTAACATAGAAAGTTTTGTTTTTGTTTTACTTGTCTTCAGCTTTGGTTAAAGTCATCACAAGATTGGTTGAAATATTACCCCTAAAGGTTACACGTCCTGGTATTTTTGTTGGTATGACATCATCACAAACATGCACAAAAGCATTTTAATGTATAATTTTGTTTTTGATAAAAGTATTTCACTCATGCAGCTGAAACAAATAGTCAAGTCTAGGAAATTGTGTCAAATTATCAATAAAATAAACCTATTTTTATGTCAAATAAGTACCAGGATGAATGACCTTTAGTCATGAACATGACCTATTAGTGCATGTTAGACACATTGACGCTGCAGTTCGGCATCTTCTACACCGATCTGACTCATATCGCGCAAGGTGTGCCGGGAGTTTGTTCGAAATTTCGAACGTTTCGAAGTCAATCGTCGATTGCCACGTATTTTACGGATATATTAAATCGTTTCAGAGACCTGTTTACTAAATAATGATAAATGAAACTTAGAAAACTTGTAAGAACAAACTGAGCCCAAATTGCCCAAATTGCAATAAGTTTACGCTGCTAGAGTCTGGTTCGGATGGAGTTCTACACATGATTTTATTGCACTCAAGGACGTTCTATTTTCGAACGAGTTGAAACCGGAAATAACACAATTACTTTCGAACTTCAAACACAAATTTGATTATTGTTATTATATGTTCGTTTCTATTGTTTCAAAGATTGAATTATGTATGACAATAATATTTCACTCTATAAACAATATTTCACTAAAATATGTGGTTCAAAGGCAACCCAAATTGTAAAAAGCAATATCAAGTTCCGCGTATGAATACTATTATAAAGAGGCGGCGGAGCGGAATTTTAGCCAAAATCGTTTAGTAAGGCGTCATATGACACAGGTTTGTGCTGGGACAGCGCTTCCGGTGACGGCACAACGTGTTAGACATAAATGTGTCAGTGTGAGCACAGAGTATTATATAAAATTCAACCAGAACAAATATTTTGTCCTTACATGCATACATTCTTGCAAGGGAAGATGATTCTAATGGAGCAAGTATATATAGTACATTTGTACAAATGTACATGCACCTCTAATGGAGATGTGATCATAATGTTTCAGAGTAAATATATTTACATATATCATGTTTTTTTTTTTTAATATCAGTTATGGGATCTTCGTCAGAACAAAGGTATTTGTGAATACAAAGGACACAGCCAAACTACAGCATCTTGTATTTTCCTTCCGTCCATGCCATCTGTTTCCAAGACTCTTATAGCAACTTCTTCTCATGACTGCTCTGTTAAAATATGGGATCAGAACACCACAGGTTTGTGTACTGAAAAAAAGAGTGAATGTCTATACTCATCAATGTCGTTACTTTCATCTGGAAAAGGATTTAGGAATTATCAAATGGAGATACTGATTTTAATTACAGTAATAGTGTTTCTAGATCATTTTTAACTGCAATGTTGAAGAACTTAGCAGCCTCCCATTGAAAAACTCTTACTATCTCATGCCAGAGGCACTGTGGTGTACCTATTTTATCACTTAACATCCATAAAAAATGGATAACAAATACAATGCACAAAAACAAGACAACAAAAATGAAAAGTGACATGACAAAGCAAAATAAAAAAAACACAGAGTGAGTCCAATAATTTGAAAGATCATTAAGTAACATCAATATGTAGAAGGTATAGCAGGAAATATCTGTCTACAATCAGAAACACACTGGACTGTCACTATTAAAATTTTGCGAGTTCGTTTAAATATATGGGCATGCAGTAAATCTGAATCTTGTTCAATTCTTAATTTCCTTAACCGTGTGAAATCAATGTATGATATAAAACCAATTGACTGTCTAAGCATCTCATAAAATTTTAACAAAGACCAATTCTCTGTTAACACAAAAAAACTTTGAAATTCTATTTATTAGCAAATCAGACCAGGTATTTTCTGCATTTTTTACTTACATTTTTCTTACATTTCTGGAAATGAACCCTAATTTTGGAGCCAACAGACACAATTTGAGTCAGTTTTTAGTTTTTTTTAACAAATTGGCTATTTTTTTCCCAATTTTCTGAAGGGTATTGCAGACTATTTTGTGAATTTGTAATGAAAAGATTTAAAAAGGCTAGAAGTGTGTCTGTGGTCAAAATAAGTCCTATTAAAATGATTCAGTATACAATATATGCAACTGTAGATTTATATGCACTTCTAATAAAGATGTGTTTCTAATCGAACAAATATAGCATTATCAGTTCTAGTCTGAAACACACCACAGGAAATAAATATGATTTAAAGCGGGGAAGTCGTCACCTGCGCATGCATCAGATGGCCATAGCGTGTCATTGTTTACAAACAAGTGTCTACTCATGAGCCGTTGTGTTTTTATTGTGTGTTGTTATCGTCGCCTGGGACTCAATTCCCGCGCATGCACAGGTGACGACCCTCCCACTTTAAAAAAGTATCAGCCAAACTGCATCTACTGAGTCAAGAAGGCATGAATTTCGTCGTTTAGAGGGCACCCGTTATTTGTTGATATGCAAACTTGATTGTTGATTACAGTCATAAAAACTGATAACAATGTTTAAAGGGATATTGCTAAGGTTTAATGGGATGTTTTTCATGTTCACTTTATTTTAACTCTCGCTGTAAGGGTTTGAATTAGCACTCAGAGAGAATTTATACATGTGAATCTTTACATCATTGAATTTTCATGTGAGTGCCTTTGTCAACTTTTGACACCGTCTACAAAATAATTTTGTACAGTGTTTTCCTCTCCACATGAAATGTTAATAAGAATTGACAAACTTTTTTATCGAAACCTTGAAGCCAAAGTCAGATATCATCTGTAAGATTCAAAATTATTTTAAATTCAAGAAAAATTTTTAAAATGTATAAAAATTTACACTGAATTTTTGGCAGGCCAAATATCTGGTGGTCGGTTAGTGAGTATTTGCACTAGAATTAAATTTGATCATTTTTACAAGGTCATAAGTGAAAAAAAATTTGGGTCACAGAGCAAAATGATTAAAATGATATTATGGAACTCTTATAGAAAGTAAGTAAAAAACATGTTCAATGAGAAAATTTGTTTGAAAAATATGGATGATAATATAATTTGCGGTAGCTATGGTTTTTAAAAATAAGAAAAAAGGTGTTACTACTGACCTGTGTTTATCAGCCTTAATGAGAAAATGAAATTTTTTTTTTCAGGCCAAAATTATGAGCAAAATTCTGCACTTTTTTATGATATTTTTTGAACCAATTAAACACAATTTTCCATTTTCAAGGTCTTATTCAACATTTTAAATTATGTATGGAAAAATATATGCAGGTTTTTTTTGTAAAATCTGATGAAAGTTGAAAGTGAAATATGAAAGTGTTCAAAGCACAGTATTCTTATTTTATATGGCGAAGCACAAATATCATATTTTACATTAATTACCATAAATTTACATATTCACTGCATGTTTCCAATAAATGCAAATGAGATGCTAATTACATTGCATATTTTTAATGCTCTGCATGTGCATGTTGGTGACTGTCTTGTCTCTTCTGTTCCTAGAATGTCTCTGTACTTTAGCTCTAGATGGCGCTGGTCCACTAACATCATTAACAGCCTATGGCGATGGCAGGTGAGAGGATTTATGTCTGTTTGAGATTAAACTTGATTATGTTACTTGTATAACACTTCACTAACCATAAATGAAAACTAAAACTAAGTTGTACAATGCATCTTTGGTACTGATAGTAACAATATTTAATTATATTAAATTTGGGTTTTGTTTGTCTGAAGCCATTTCTCGCACATGCTTTGACTGATCACATTTAAACACACAGACCATGTATGTTGACTTACATATGCACATCAATTTTCATTACCATTCAGTAAGTAAGTATCTGTATGGCTGACTGGTGGCCATTTTGGTCCAGCAATGCTCCTCGAAGATGAACAGGGCAATTTCATTCAAGCTTTGTATCATGATCATGCATATTGGATATATCATGCGCGCTCATCATATTTTTTTCAAGACTCAAACCAAAATGGTCGACTTAAGGCCATTTTGTATTTATTCATGTCCATGAATATATTAAGTTGAAAGTTTGCATACAAGTACTATACTGCTAGTTCATATCTTAGTTTGTATTATTTTGTGTGACTTGATCAAATTTATCGAATTGAATATGTTTCAGGATCATACAACATTATATTTTTTTGCCTATTACAGTACATTGCCAGCACACACTGATTGCATCACAGCACACATTGCAACTAGTGATGGAATTGGCATTAATTATAGAACAGGGTCAATGCATGGGTTAGTTTGCAGTTTATTCTCCAAAATTTTAAGAAAGAGGAGGAAATTCCCCCATCACACTTAAAAACATAGCGTAACTATTACAACCTTGTCCATTGTGAATCTAGATGAAAATAGATGTATTTTTACTAAACACTTTCATTTGTTCACATATCGTACACAATACTGCTATATGTGTAGCGTGTAAATAGAATCCCGTCACTGAAAGCTAATGTTCACATAGTTTGAAAAATTTTCCATTTTTGGCTGTTATATCTTATTAAATTATTATTTCAAGCAGAAAAAGATGTATTATTATTATCATGAGAATACCGCAAAGTATGCACTCAGGCAGTATGGGAATGTGCCACCCTTCCCTACGCATCAGTCAATTTGATCATCTTACTGTCTTCATGCATCTTATGCGGTATTCTCGTAATAACTTAATATTATTGACCTTCTCAAGTAAATACGTGTATTCATGGATGTCATGCCACTGACTCGCACAATTTGTGTAAATGTGTCTCGCATGAAAATTAAAATTCTTAACAATATTTATCATTTCTTTCAGTATCTGCTGTGCATCTTTTAATACTGGTGTTCATCTTTTATCTGTGAATGAAGATGCCAATGGAATTATCACACTGATCAAAAAAGCCCAGTATTAATCTGAGATGAGTTGCCCAAAACATTAAATGTCGTTCCAGTTATTTTAGCTACAATGTTCTGTATATTTTCACTTAGTAATTTATTGTTTTGTATATATTGTTTACTTGCTTTTATTTTAACTTTGATGATTACTCGAAAGTTATTGTGTTTGTGCAATTTGTGTATTTATTTGTCTTGAGATTTGAAGTCTGTGTAATGCGCCCTCTAGTGTCATTTTTTTGAAAACTTTCGCAAACTTGTTTTATGAGATCAAATTAACTTCATGATTGTTTACTGTTTTTGTAAATTTTGGATAATATTTTTAAAGATGTTAGTTATTTATGTTTCACTGAAATCAGACCTTTGCTGAGTGACAAATGAAGATGAAGTTATCGTCTACTGCTTTTCATAAATTAAGTGCTACTGTCATTGAGCAGCCCATGTTCAAATTCAGTGTTAACAAACATTGAATTTCACAGGTATCGTATAAGTCAAGCCGACCCACATCGAACATGACATAGTGCACTGTCTTGAGACCTACACAACGTATACTTTTTCAACAAATTTGATCAATACTTATAAGGGATTATTAATTTTAGACCAAACGGAAGGAATTTTAATTATAGAAAAATACACAAAAAAATGTGCAGAATGTTGCACCTAAATTTTGACAGGAATAATTATGGCATCCCAAAGTTTAATAAAATTGTGCATAATAATATATATATATGGTAGCACATGACTGGTAATAGTGTAAATATACAAGGTAATTTAAGAAAGTAGTTTTATGATTATGTATTGAAAGATAAAATAAACTTCATAATGGGTTATAAAAAATAAATGTTTTGTTTCTGCTCAGTGTACTCATCAGTTCAAGGGGCCACTCAAACTTTTTTTGTAGTTTCTGACAAAATAAACTGAAAATAAATGGATATCGCATAACCATTCTTTTGGCCACATTTTCAAATGGGAGACACTGATTTTATTTTGAAAGACAAAACTTGCATATTCTTGAAACTATACATTGTTAATAACATCTAATTCTTTATGGACTCACTGGATACAGCCATTGCTGCCCTTGGTCGTGCGGCTTATGCACCCTCGCAAGTTCGGGCGTCCATGAAAAATAATATGGCATTGTAAATGTTTAATTTATGACAGTCTTGGAATCTGAACAGCTAAAGAAAATGCCTGTCATTATGATTTAATCTGTAAAATGAGATGATACCAATAAAGATTCATGTTCTAAGTTTGTACCAATTTGAACATAGTCCATGCGATGAAAACAATCATTTTATCATAAGCAACTCTTATGTGCTGAAGATATTGGAGGCATGTAGTGCAAATATAAAGTATCGTATAATAATATTACAAATTTGCATGTTTTTATCTTCAACAGTGCCTGAGATATTATATAAGTTTAAGTTTAAGTGAATCAAACTGATGAATATATGTATAGTAATGAGATCATATGACCATATATGGTCATGTGATATGCAAATCATATCTCTTGTTCAATTCTTTTATTATACCGCTATTTGCATGTTCTTATCTGCAACTAATTATAATAACTGGTACGTACACAGGAGTAAAAAATGTCAAATTTATTCAATTATAACAAAGTTTTGTTTGGTATTTATTTCCTCAGTTCTGTGATTCATCAGTTTGATTCACTCAATTCTTCTATGATAGCTTGGCTTAATCTCCTGATATCATCCTTGTTATTGTATACATTAATTGAAATCCTGCACCATAATCTGCCGGCAACTTCCACTGGTGCGCATATAATATTGTGTTTTTGGTACATCTCTTCTTTCAGTGTTTCCACCCATTGGTCATTAATTCCATACTTCTTGTCACTTTGTGGCAATGCAACCAGTCCCATGAAAGGAGCTCTAAGGTGGCTGGGTATGGGCAATATTTCAGTTTTCCATGTTTTTGATAACATTGTCATACTCCATTTCAGAAGAGTACTGTTGTACTCGAATATTTTGTTCTGAAACAAATTTGTGCAAAAATACCTCATATGTAAGTTACATTAATTGTATTAATATTTCTGAACGTGATTAATTATTGATTTATCACATTATTTAAATCAGTCAAATATGTGGTTGCATCTTATGAATTGGTGATCAGTTAGGCTGTATCTCACAAGTTAGTAATCAGTCATGATCAGACTGTGTGCTTTGACTCGTATGAGTTGGTAATCAAGATGTGTGATTTGACTCATATGAGTTGGTAATCAGGATGTGTGCTTTGACTCTCATGATTTGGTAATCAGGATGTGTGCTTTGACTCACATGAGTTGGTAATCAGGATGTGTGCTTTGACTCACATGAGTTGGTAATCAGGATGTGTGCTTTGACTCACATGAGTTGGTAATCAGGATGTGTGCTTTGACTCATATTAGGTGGTAATCAGGATGTGTGCTTTGACTCTCATGAGTTGGTAATCAGGATGTGTGCTTTGATTCACATGAGTTGGTAATCAGGATGTGTGCTTTGACTCTCATGAGTTGGTAATCAGGATGTGTGCTTTGACTCACATGAGTTGGTAATAAGGATGTGTGCTTTGACTCTCATGAGTTGGTAATAAGGATGTGTGCTTTGACTCTCATGAGCTGGTAATCAGGATGTGTGCTTTGACTCATATTAGTTGGTAATCAAGATGTGTGCTTTGACTCACATGAGTTGGTAATCACGATGTGTGCTTTGACTCTCATGAGTTGGTAATCAAGATGTGTGCTTTGACTCTCATGAGTTGGTAATCACGATGCGTGCTTTGACTCATATGAGTTGGTAATCA